AAAAGACCTAATAAAGAAATCAAGTACTTTTCAAGGACCTAAACCGAATTCAAGGACTTTTCAAGACGACTAGTAAAATTCAAGACCTTTTCAAGATTGTACGAACCATGCACACAGAAACAGACCTCATTCATTATTTCACTACGATACCCGTCATCTTTGCACGCGCTTTACTGACGTGAGGATTGATCGGATAACAGCAATGTCACGTGGTATTTCAGGGGTAAAACGGTCAAGTTTGTTTATTTTCTCAAAACGAAGAAGCAAAATGCACGGCTCGAGTTTCGTCAAGTTTTACGTCATTATTGATTGCTGAGAGGACATCTGGGTGCCTAACCCTAACCAAACAATACTAAAACAATTGAAATAATGACATGTCATTGTTTCCTGCGACCAATTAGGAGAGAGCTTCCGAGCAGCTCCTACACTACTCCTTTTGTCCTGTGACATGTGATCATGTGTTCTGTACCTGCCACATCTACAGTCGCCACTGCATCCAAAGAAGTAACAACCATAATTTGCCATTATCGTCTTTAAGATTAAAAATTATAAATTTTCTGCGATCGCGGCCATGAGAAACCACGTGACGTCGCTTTAACCCCGCCAGTCCTTAAGCGCGTGCAAAGATGCCAGGTTTTGTGAATAAGGTCTACTAAAAAGGCATGAAGGTTTTGAATAAAATGTAACAATTGTGTTATTTTTTAAGTCTACTTTGCTAATAAGTATAATTTCGCATAACTATTCTAAGATCTTTTAATGTGGTAGCACTTGTACCTGTGTTATAATCCCCTGTCCAACTTGATTCAGATTTCCGGTAGGAATGCTCTGGATTCAGGCCAAGAAAGAACATTACTGTAATTACTGTAATTATTTCCCTTTTGAGAGCTGGCTTTAAAAACTCTTACTTACTTCAACTCCCATCATCCCATCACTTATAAATCTTTTAACTTCTGATTGTCTACATATCTGTGTAACGAACAAGTAATTACTTATTATTGGCTCAGCTGAAACTCTGTTTTTTCTTTCCATACGAAAAGTGGAATAAACTTTGACTCGGCAATCGAAACAGCACAGAGGTCACTGAGGTGAACATTTATTAGAGCCGAGCTACGTTTCTTCGTTCAATGTTTCCTTTGCTTTCACCGTTGTAGTTGTCTCGATTTCCTGACTTCCTGAAGTAGAATCGGGACTGTTGACAAACGGTCAGTCTCAACATGAAACAATAAAAAAATCTGCCTGCGAACTAGCGTATTCTGTCCGAGCCGGGACATCTGAGGGCACTAGAGTCCTCGTAAAACATTACAAATACTGTTCGCAATCTTTTTTAATAGCGAGGCAAAACCTCACTGAAAACAATTTTAATATTTGTATGAACTAAAGTACGCAATCTTGCTGCCATTAATTTGTTGGCGCTCAGTTTTGTAATTCCGAAAATAGAGACCCGTTCTGCCAGCAATATTTACCTAAGATTCAATTAAGCAGTTTACGTTACCCGGTGTTGTCAAACACAAAGGATCGTGGAACAGAAAATGACAAAATGGCTCGAAATCCGCTAATATAAACTCATAAAAAAAATCCCAGTTTATTTGTTACAATGTGATCTCGTTCCTGCAAGGCTCGATCTTAATTTTCAGTTTAGTGGCCGAGCTTTGCTGGTAAGAATTTTTTCTACTAGCAAAAGCAGTAAATTTACAGGCTATTGGTGGAACCGAGTATAAATCGCGATGCCGAGCTAAAATATGCATTGTAATGTTGTCAATGTATGCATGGATTATTTTAGCCACAAAATGCCCAAAATTCTTCGACAACGACTATCTTCCCTCAAAATTTCAACTCGAGAAATGCTTACTCGTCAATTTTTGGCTAGAGGATTTTCTTTTGACTGGCAACTTCGAAAAACCACTCGGATTTTGCGAGTTTGCCAGTGCTAATCTCGAGCCCTGTAATCCTGAGACGCCTCCTTTGCGCAAGTGGTGACATACGATTCTTGAACGCTCCCGAGTTTTCTTCTGTTTTTGGGAAGTGGATTTGTCATTTTTTGTTCCAGTTCGCCACTTGAAGTCTAATCTAATAAGCACCACGACTCTCTCAACTCTTTCAGTTAAAACGCAATTGGCCATTTCCGAGTTCCAAAAACTCTCACTTTCGAAACGAGGCCAAGTTCAAAACCTTTCTTGTGAAAATGAAGTTTATTTGTATGAGAATAAAAAAAACATTTTCATGTCAATGGCTTTACACGTAGCCTCGCTTTGAAAGAGAGGCTTGAGTCAACTTGAAAATGACCGATTGAAGACAAAAATCTGAAAATAGTCAAAATAACCTCAGGAGCTTGTTTTCAAACAGAATCTGCTGTTTTTCTAATTTAGTCGTCAAGGCTTGACAATTCTTAAAAGATTGCTGTTTAACTAGCACAGTAATTTACATGATAATACAGCAGGAACATCTCTTTCTTCTTGGAAATTCTGATTCCCTTTCATGGGTCTACAAAATAGAAACACAATCACAATCACACACAACGTAGTTAACTACACGCAAATAAGGAAATACTCCGTTAAAAAGGCCTTGAAGCTAAAGTATTTCCAGCCTTAAGTTTAAAGATGCACTCGGCTACGTCGGAGGGAAACATATTATACGGAAGAATTTCGTTGCGGTATTTCAGGATTTTTGGGGGAATGAATTCAGTGTTCAGTGTTGGAAATCATTGTAAGACTTGCAATGTAGAGGCCTTATTATAAACAAAAGCTTTCGAGTGTGTTTGATCATCTCCGGCGGAGAGAAACACTAAAAGTCTTAATAATATTTTCGTTTAAGATAAAATACAATAAAATACAGTAAATAAATTTAAACAAAATTAAACAAAATCCCTTCATCCAAAACAATACTTAAAACCATCCACTTCCTTGAGGTAAATTTGAACATGTACACATTTCAAAGCCTTCATTTACGTACAATGGGATTACAGAACATAAACAAAGGATATTTTAAGCTAGCAACGAAAAAAAGGGTGCCGGATTGACAAAAACTTTGACAAGATGTACTAAATTCAAAACAGGCCGCACGTCCCGACTGTGAAGATCATTAAATCAATACTTGGCCTAACTAATAAGAAGTACAGCGTGTGATGGGCAAATTTAGTCGGGAACTGAGTTCTGCAAAAGGGGTGAGATAATTACAAGGTGCAAAATCCTTATGTTAGTGACTGGACTTGCTGCAAAACACTGTAACCATCCGAACTACCAGATGGAGAGTTATCGATCACTTCATCGGAGTTACGAGAACAAAACGAACTCCTTTTTTAAATCATAAATAAGGTGTCTGTTTCTAATTTCTTTGCTGATCTACCAGTTGTTAAACAAAACTCTTTTTTCGAAAGTCAATAGGTCTACTTAGCACAAAATGTCATTGATATCTTCCCTAGACAGCTTAAAAAGGGAATCAAGGTGGCGGGAAAATTAACAAAATACCTGTTTTACCCATGTCATGAGCGGGGATTAAACAGTAATACGAATTTTGGGAAGCGGGGATTTAACATAAGTGACTGAACGAAAAGCCTCATTTCCCAAAGTTTTGTATGGCAGCAGAAGAGAGATGATGCCGCAGAGAAAGATAATATTAAGACATAGGAGAAACAGGGCAGGAAGGCACAAAACAGGTTGCCCTAGTCTCAGACACAGAAAGAAAGTGTATAGAACGTCCTACACATTGGTCGAGCGTTGCCTTACAAGGACTTCACAAATCTCATTTGAGTCTCATTTGTTCACCTCGTACGTAAACGACGATAAATTAATCCCAAAAGCGCTTTGTAAGTTTCCCGATTCCTCTCCCATTACTTTCACGATTGGAAAATTGGACAAAGACAGAGCTGTTTCGCTTCCCAAGGGGTACTGCGGGTAATTCTCAGTGGGGGTGTGCCGCCTAGTTCTCCAAATCCTGACCCTATTTCAGCCCAGAAAGTATCATTTTCCACACCCTTTTTCAGACCTGACCTCTAAAATCCACACCCGTTTTCAGACCGGACATTTAGGCAGAAATTATGTCAGATTTACAGTCAACTGGCCCTTTATAGCAGACACTGTAGGGACCTCAAATTAGTGTCCTCATTAGCGACAGTCCGTAATAGCGGGAGTTTATTTAAGTCAAACTTCTGTAATTTGTTTTTGCCGGGGAATTTAGCTGCTGTCCGTATTATCGGGGTGTTCGCAAGGCGAGAGTTGACTATACCTAAATGGCTTATATAAGGAAGTACCCCCCCCCCCGGGTTTCGCTTAAGATCCCTTGCCCTCACAAGCATACCATACAGAAGTTACTTTTTTGTAAGCGATCTAGCCACATTTTTCTACACTGGCTCCAGAGGTCCGTTCTCAGGAACTGGGTAGGAAAAAAAATCCTCTGACACCCAGGGTAACATTTTTCATGAATTTGAAGGAACGCAATCGAGACTTTCTATTAACAGGTCCGATGGTTTGAATTTTAAGAAATACAGAATACCAGATCGGACAGAGCGGTTGAAATCGAGCCTAGAACTACACTTTACAAATTCCCTGCTATACGGGACTTTTAACAAACTAATTGGGCCGGAAAGCGGGGAAATTAGCGGTGTTTTAACACCAAACCAATGTCAAATTCCCCGCTAAGTCCCGGGGGTCGGGGCGCCGGAGTTTCAAATGACTGATGCATAAACTTAAAAAAACGAAGCTGGTGACTAACCCGTTCCTGTTCAATCCCTTTTTTAGATGATGAATAAGCTTATTAATTTAACTGTAACCTACATATAAGAACCTGCTTGATCTCCTTTGGCCTGGTTTTTATCATTGTTTGGTATTAAAGAAGCAAATTTCTGCCAGTAGGTTATTAAGCCACTAGGTTCTTACACGCGGGTTTTTACTGTATTAAAAACTAACTCAGTATCACCAACTCGGAAATCCTCCGTAATGGAGACTTACAAATGAAGGCTCCTGAGCGTATTTGATTATCTCTGACGGACAGAAAAAGAGAACTGTTCACACAAACACTGAAAGTCTTACTAATATTAATAAATAAACTTTCACAAAAGTAGTTGAGTGATGACTAACCTGCTCCTTTTCATGCACTGATTCAGGTGATGAATCAGGAAAGAGGTCAGGGTACCGCCTTTTCCAGTAGTTCTCTGATGGACATTTATAAACAGGTTTGGGGTTTCCTTTTCGATCCTTCAACAAAATACAAAACAATACTTAAAACAACCCATCTCCCTTTAATAAAGTGTGGACGTGTACACATTTCAAAACCTTCATTTTAAGTCCCATGCGATTACACTGACCAACGAAAGACAATTGCCAATATGACAACAACTTTGACGAGATGTACTAAGTTCAAAACAAGCCTCGCGTGCCGAAAGCAAAGATCAACAGTCAAAACTTGGCCTATATAATAAAAGGCAGTCTGTGACTGCATGTGGCTACTGTTTTAGTTTTGTAAAATATATTGCGATAAAAAAGGAGTGAAAATTGTAGGAAACGATAGTAATTCAGATTGTTTATCCATATATATACTATCTTTGCTCTAGAAGGTATATACTGAACAAACAACAACAACAAAACAAATAAGCAAACAAAACAAAAACGAAAACGAAACAAAAAAGAGAAAGACAGAAGGAAAAAAGAAAGGCTACTGAGCAGGATTCGAACCCGGCACCTTGTCAAAAATTATACGAGCACAAGGTTAATGTTTTCAAAACAACTGACAAACTATTTTAAGCGTCTTTACAGTTATTTGCTGGGAGAAATTTTTCCAAGCGAAGATTTTGACTTCTCTTGCGTGATGATAAGGGATGTGGGGGAGGACCCTCTCTCTCCAGCGTTGCGTGACATAGAGAGAGAGATAGGCCAGAACTGCACTAGACACATGGTGGTTACGCCTTCTTTGTTTGGTATATTGGTGTAGAGGCGAAGCGCTGAAGGTCAAAAAACTTCCTTTACGACTAAGTTCAAGAAACGAGTGTTACCCGTCGCCAATTTTTAAACCAACTTTAGGGAGGAGGGCGATTTACCCCCCAGTACCTCTCCCCCTTCGGCGGCATTGGAAAGAGAAACACAAGGCGCACGTACAAGAAATTCGCATTCAAAATAGTGGAATCAAAATCAAAATTAGCAAATCCTTTTTTTTTTTCTTTTGAAAATACATTCAGCCGTACAAAATTCGCTGATCACCGTGATTTTTTTTTCGAGCGGGAATTTGTTACGTAATAAAACGAAAGGCGGGAAAATGTCATCACGTGAAAAATCATCCGAGGTGGATTTAACCAATCAGCTGCCGCCACGTCACCAGGCTTTGAATGACATCGTTTGTTGTTTTTGTAGTTTGTTCAGTTCGCTCTTCAACGGCAAAACTGTTCAGGATGAACTCAAAATTTAATAAGAAAACATCAAGGAAATGTTACATGGGATTCATCTCTTTTTGCTCAGGAATATGCGAAGGAGTTGTTCGAAGCTCAAGGAAACATCATTTATTAGGATATTTCACGAAAGCCCAAAGCTCCGCAGAATTTGATTTGTATGGCGAGTGTTCTTGGTATTTTACGCGATGAAAATCATGCAATGGACACTTATGCTATACAGTGGAGAACAGCGAAGTGTTTACCTGTAAGGAAAATTTCTTCCGTGTTGCTTTCAACCGTTGTCTCGAAGATACAATTTTTTTGTGCAGGTTGTTATTTAAGAAACCAACGCTTCACCGAACTGCAAGGACCAGTATTTACCAAAGAAACGCTCAAGAACTAACAAAAGAACAGCTATAAAAAAGACTTGTTTGTTTTTTGGACTTTGAAAGGAACTTCACTTGACTTAAACTGATTTTATAGGAGGCTTGGATGGTAAATGTGAAAATGTGAGTTCAATGTGTTTACTCTTTGCTTATTTGTTTAAATTGAACATGAACTGAACAGCTTTCATTTGCTTTTATGATTGTTGTTTGTTATTTTATGAAAAGGTATGAATTAAAATTGATTCAGAAATTAATACTGTGGAAATTATGTGCTTTTGTTTTGCTGAAAGTTCTTGTTTTCACCCAATAATATCATCTTATGGCTGCTTGAAGATACGAAATTTCTCCTTTTGTGTTCAACTCCATGTTTTAATATCAGCTAAGTTACTTGTTCTTAACGTTCTCAGTTAAAACATTTTATGGAGTTAGTTTAATCAGTTGAAAGAAATGAATTTGAAATGATTCTTTGAATCTGCTAAAGTTTGTGATGTGATTTCAAAAGCAAATCTTGTGTTTTGTCGAGTATAAAAATGACAAAGAAAGGAAAATGGCGAAAGGCAAGAGCTGAGTAGAAATAAACTGTAAACAAAGAATAAAGAAACAAATTGCGATAAAATTGGAAAACTTACGTGGTATTGTGACCACAGTTCAGTGATGTTTCCGTGCTGCTGTACAGCTGATGTGAGATTCATCACCTGCTGTGGAGTCATCTTCACATCTGTAAGGGCCAGTGTCTTCAGGTGAGGAGCGCAGCTGAGATGTTTTATCAAGCTGTCGACTCCTGCACCCAGCAGAGGATTCCTTGACATGTTGAGGAACTTTAAGTTTGGAAGATCTTGTTTGAATACTCTGCTGATGAACTCCACAGCAGGTGATGATGTTACATTGATATTCCAGAGTGATAATATCTCCAGTTTGTGTGTTGTTGGGATGCTCCTCAGTAGAGACTCTGTTAACTCAGCATCAAACACTTCAACGTCTTCACCCCCAATCCCTATGCAGTGTGGAGCGGTGATAAACGGCATCATCTGACTCATCAGTTCCACTTCCGACCTGTTCACATTCCAAGCGTCAATCCTCTGAACCCTGGAGAGACCATGACGCTTTGAACAACAGCTGCTGCTGCTCTCTTCACTTGACTCATCACCTTTCATGTTTGTCTTCTTTGTTGTCTCTTCTAAACTAACTAACGTCTTTACCATTTTATATGGAAGAGGAATGTTATCATTTTTTACAATTTGAGTAAAATAAAGGTGAGTGTTGTTTTCTTCTTTCATTAAAAAAAACTCGTCAACACTACGCCATTGAAACACATTCAAAAATTCTGATGCTTTCTGTTCTCCTGTTCTACTAACTATAACAGCGTTTAATTGCTGTACTAAAGTAATTAAATTATTATAACTTTGCTCTGTATACTGGTCGCTATAAGAGAAAAATATGTACATAAGTGAAGCGGTAGTTTTAACAAAATTTTCCTTTGCTGCAATATTCAGCTGGTCAGGATTTAAAATTAACAAAACACCTCCTAGATTAGAAAGAAAAGTGGAGAAAAGTTCTGTTCTCGTGTCTGCTGAGCAGTAGAAGAATAACTGTGTACATAGAGTTAAAAGATTTTGTTGTTCATTAGACAAATCATCGACTGACGGTGTTTGGTTGTCGAAGCTGTACTCTCCGTCTTTCTTCGCCGCCATTCCCAACAGATGAATCAAGATCTCGCGCGCGGCTTCTTCTGACATTTCAGCAGCAAATTTTAAAACTTCATTCAACTTGAAGATCTTTTCAATTGAGTCGACTTTGAAAAGGGAATTGTTTTTACTTTCTTGAGATAACAGTTCTTCTTTTAGAAATAAAGAAGCCAAAAACTCCTGCATGGATTTATGAATGAAGTGCACGGCTTTGCACGGGTTAAGAGTGGACATGTTTAGCAGCTGAAACAACCCGGCTTCGATCAATTTGTCAGTCAAAACGTGATCCGGCAGTTCACTGAGAGGAAAGTAAAGTAAATCTTGTAGAAGTGCGTCAAAGGCTAGTTCTCCTACGTTACAGAGTTCTTGTTTGTGATCGTCAACTTTTTCCGCCGGCTTTTTTTGTTTTTCCGACATATGATTAAACATAGTCTGTAGAAACTTGAAGTACACCATCACCCGTGATGAAGGTAGTCCTTCACGATCCTTTTCTTTCCAAACTAAAGACAGCATTAAAAGTACAATAGGTATTTTTGCTACATCCTCCAGGTCTTGCTGCACCAAGTATTCAAAAAACTCTTCAACATCTTGATCATCTTTCAAGAATCTACGAGCGAACTCTTTTTGTCGCTCACGGTCAAAACCGTCGATCTCAAATTGAGCATCGCTGGAACTTTTCAATTCCTCTCCTTTCATGTCTCTAGACGTTATAATAACACAACAATTCCTCAACTGCTTTCTCTTCCAGATTTGAAGAACAGGTGATTGGCTTGCTGCGCTGTGTACGTATTCATCGTAGCCGTCCAAAATAAGCAACACGTTTTCTTGGTGGCGACGAACGTAATCGTACAGGTTCTCAGTGGAAACTGGGCCATCACTCGCGAGAAGATTAGCATCGTTCAGAATGGCCGNAGTTCTTCTTTTAGAAATAAAGAAGCCAAAAACTCCTGCATGGATTTATGAATGAAGTGCACGGCTTTGCACGGGTTAAGAGTGGACATGTTTAGCAGCTGAAACAACCCGGCTTCGATCAATTTGTCAGTCAAAACGTGATCCGGCAGTTCACTGAGAGGAAAGTAAAGTAAATCTTGTAGAAGTGCGTCAAAGGCTAGTTCTCCTACGTTACAGAGTTCTTGTTTGTGATCGTCAACTTTTTCCGCCGGCTTTTTTTGTTTTTCCGACATATGATTAAACATAGTCTGTAGAAACTTGAAGTACACCATCACCCGTGATGAAGGTAGTCCTTCACGATCCTTTTCTTTCCAAACTAAAGACAGCATTAAAAGTACAATAGGTATTTTTGCTACATCCTCCAGGTCTTGCTGCACCAAGTATTCAAAAAACTCTTCAACATCTTGATCATCTTTCAAGAATCTACGAGCGAACTCTTTTTGTCGCTCACGGTCAAAACCGTCGATCTCAAATTGAGCATCGCTGGAACTTTTCAATTCCTCTCCTTTCATGTCTCTAGACGTTATAATAACACAACAATTCCTCAACTGCTTTCTCTTCCAGATTTGAAGAACAGGTGATTGGCTTGCTGCGCTGTGTACGTATTCATCGTAGCCGTCCAA